AAATGAAGGGGGATCCGGCATCTGCCTGCCTGGGGTGGTATGTGTTCATTCTAGGATGGGCGATGGGGCATAATCATTTGTACATGGCAATGCGCAACGACGGCCCGTTAAAGAGAAGCTATGCGGTGCAGTCTTTTCGGTGCAAACTATGTTGTGCAATTTATTTTTGTTCGCAGTGGGTCGTCCACTCCACTGTTCGCGGAAACGCGCGCCCACCCACTCGCAACTTGGCTTGCAGACCTCACGCGGCGGCGATTGCGATGAATGCTTGGCGCTGGCTGGTGCATCTCCGCGGTCGCGCCAGCCCGCGCGCGCGCGCGGCGGCCAAGTAGTTTGGCGCGATCGACGCGGCCGCGGTGGTGCTGACCGCTTGGCATATCCTGGCAGGCACCTGAGTGCGCGTCGGCGACTTGGGCGGGCGCGGCATCATGGCGACGTCGACGCTTGTAGACGCGATGATGATGATCGTAGCGATGTTGGTGGCGATGCCGGCAGCGACGACGGCGCGGCCAGTGACGGCGCCGATGCCGATCGACGACGATGACGGCGTTTTCGCGTCGGCGATGGAGATTTTGAAAAGAATTCGACATGCGCGAGGCAGACGCGCGAGAGTGGCTCGCCTCGTGGCACTTGAAACGGACCGTGCCACTCCAGCACGCGCGCGCGGGCGTTCGAACGATTTAGACATGCGCGCGCGAAGCCCGTTTAGTAGCGTGTTATGAAAAGTTTGAAAGATAATGGTTTTCTCAAGAATCTGCAAGATCGCGCGCGCACGCGTTTGTTGAACATCCGTGTCGCGAAGCCATTTGATGTTGTTTTTGTTTGTTGTTTGGATGCTCCATTTTGACGTCTTTCCGAAGCCGATGGTTTTTGGTGTTTCCGGCATGCGCGCGCGACGACGCGCGCGCGTGCACTTCGTTGCAGTTTTTGCAAGTGGTTCTCACGACGGCACGCGTGCAAGGGCGGTCGAACGATTTCGACATGCGCACGCGAAGCCCGTTTGGTATTTGTTTCAATATGGTTTTCCTGGAAATTCGCAAGAGCGCGCATGTTTTGTGTGTTCGTTGTTTTGAACATCCGCGATGCAAAACCTTATGTTCTTATATGTTTTTGACAGTCGATTTCCTTCCGAAGCCGAGAGTTTTGAAGGATTCCGGCATGCGCGTTCGACGTCGCGCGCGTGCGCACTTCGTCACATTTGTTGCAAAGGACCCCTGAGAACTTATGATATTTTGATGATCGAGTGTGCCCGCGTAGCATTTGTTCCAAAGGATGGCGGGGGGGGGCGATGCCGGCCTAGCTCGGGTAGTATGAATTCAATGGTCGGATGGACATTGGGTCAGAATCCGATGCGTTTCGCATCGGTTCCCAGGGGGTCTGTAACCCGGGGGGGGAGGTGGTAGAACCTATTTTTGTGTTAGATAGGAGATTGCATGCGGTGCAAGCTCTGCATTGCAACATGTGTGATGCAACCTGCGTTGTGCAGCTTATGCGAAGCCGTCTACGTGGTGAGATCTATGTGGCGCACTTCGCCCTGCCGGACTCGGAGTTGTCAAATCTATTATTCGCGCAATCGTTCCACCCGCCCACCCGCGCTTGAGTTTACAAAACCCATGCGCCACCGATTGCGATGACAGCTTGGCGCTTGCTGGCGCATCGGCGCGGCCGCGCTAGCGCGCAAGCTCGCGCGCAGAGCGGCCAGCTGCTGACCTCTGGGGACTTCCCAGCGCGTCCCGTCATCCGCGCTAAGGCGCGGTCACTTCAGTGCGAGTCGGTGGCTCGGGCGGTCGCGGTATGATGGTGACGCCGACAACGGCGGATGCGATAATTATAGTAGCGATGCTGGTGACGAGGATGACAATCACGACGAAAAGCCCATTCACGGCGCCGATGCTTATCACGCCGATGACGATGATGGTGTCCATGTCAGGGTTAGGAAGGTTTTGGGCCGATTTCTACATGCGCGCGCGGCGAAGGCGCGCGAGTGACCCGCATGTGACTTCGCAACAGCGCGAACGTTAAATTGTTGGGGCGAACTCGTGTTGCAAAACGGTTAGTTTTTATGCGTTTCGGGACGTTCGTTTTTGAGTTCCCTGCCAAGCACATGGTTTTGGTACGTTGCGGCATGTCGCAAGCACTTGTTGGACATAAAGTATGTTTGATATTCGATTGCGCACATGATTTTAGCTGGCGAGGATTAGTGTGGGCGGGGGCGAACCAGGCCTGGTTGGGATGCGTTGAATTCATCATATGTCGAATGAACGATTGGGCAGAAACGCGTGCAAATTGCACATCCCCGGGGTGGACATAGAGACCATCATATGTGCGGCACAATCTACGTGCAGCTGTACATGTCGTGCAACACACGTTGTGCACTTTATGTTGTGCAGCGTACGTTGTGCAATTTATGTGGCGCAGTCGATGGTACAATCTACTTTGATTGCCTTGAAGCTGTGCTCTCCACTGCTCGTGCAAACACCCCACCCTCCCACCCGCAACTTGGCCGCAAGACCTCTTAAGACCTTGGCGGTAGGTACCAAATGGCACTTGGCAACGACACCGACGCCGACGACGACAGCGACAACGACGACGACTACGACGATGCCGACGACGACTATGACGACACTGACGACGACTTCGACGACGACGACGACACCGACGACGACGCCGACGCCGACGACGACGACGATGACGACGCCGACGACGACGACGGCGACGACGACGACGACGACGACGACACCGACGACGACGACGACGCCGACGACGACGACGACGATGACGCCGACGACGTCGCCGACGACGACGACGCCGACGACGACGACGACGACACGGACGACGACGACAACGACGACGACGATGACAACGACGACGACGCTGGCGACGACGACGACGACGTCGACGACGACGCCGACGACGACGAAGACGACGACGACGACGTCGCCAACGAAGACAATGACGACGACGAGGCAGGAGGGAGGACGACGACGGCGACAACGACGACAACGACGACAACGACGAGGGAGGAGGGAGGACGGCGACGACGCGAACGACGACGAAGGAGGAAGGACGGCGACGCCGACGACGACAACGACGAGGGAGGATGGAAGACGATGACGACGACGACAACGACGACGGCGACGACGACGACGACGGCGACGAAATAGGAGGGACGACGACGAGGGAGGAGGAGGAAGGACGATCACGGCGACAACGACGACGGAAACGATCACCACGCCAAAGAGGATCACGACGACGAACACGAGGAACGACAGAGGACGACGTAGGCGACGACGACGGCGACGCGGGAGGAGGGAGGACGGCGACGACGACGATGACGACGACGGCGCAAGAGCGCGCGCGCACGCTTTTGTTGACAATCCGTGTTGCGAAACCTTCGGTTTTTGTATGTTTTTCGGACACACGATTTTGAACTCCTTCCGAAACCGATGGGTTTTGAAGGATTTCGGCGTACGCGCGCGACGACGCCCGCGTCTGCACTTCGTCCCATTTGTTGCAGAGGATTCTCGCGACGGCGCACGCGCAAGGGCGTTCGACAGATTTCGACATGCGCGCGCGAAGCCCGTTTAATAGTATTTGGCGAAATCTTGAAAAACCGATGGTTTTCTTAAGATTTTGCAAGAGCTCGCGCGGAAGTTTTTGTTAGCAAATCAGTGTTGCGAAACCCTGTGTTTTTGTATGTTTTTGTTTTTGGTAACTCGATTGCGAAATCTTTCCGGCACCGAAGGTTTTTGAAGGATTTCGGCATGCGCGCGCGACGACGCGCGCGTGTGCACTTCGTCCCATTTGTTGCAAGGGATTCGTGAAAAAGTGCGATGGTCGAACAATACATGTCACCGCTTAGTGTTTGTTACAAGGGAACTTCAGGGGGGGAACCCGGCTGGCCTGGGACATTGTGATTTCATATTTGGGATGGACATGTGGTCATAATCATATGTGATTTTACATACCCGAAAGGCGTAGCGATAACGCCGGGGGGGTGGTTAAGTCTATTCTGTTTTCAGAAGATGAGAATCAACGGGGTGCAACCCGTGTTGTGCAAACTATGTTATGTTTTCGTGCAATCGGTTTTGTGCATGCTACGTCGCGCAATCCATGTTGGCAATGTGTGTTGTGCAATATGGATGCCCGTCGCCTGGGCCTGCCTGTTGGTCTAGCAGCAACATAGCCGCCAGACCGGCTGACAGGCCCAGACGACGGGCGGTGACGAGGCGGCGACGTCGCGGCGACAGCGGCAACATAGCCGCAAGACCAGCAAGCAGGGCCAAACGACGGGCGGCGACGGGGCCGCGACGGGAAGACGACGGCGGCAACATAGTCGCAAGAGCGGCAAACAGGCCCAGACGACGGGCGGCGACGAGGCGGCGACGGCGGCGATGGTAACATAATAGCCGCCAGAGCGGCAGACAGGCCCAAACGACGGGCGGTGACGAGGCGGCGACGGGGCGGCGACGGCGGCAACATCGCCGCCACACCAGCAGACAGGCGCAGTTCGTTAGAGCAGAAGCAAGGATTCCCATGTGCAAGCGCTGTTCAGGGAAGAAACAAGAGCCCTTAAGTGCCAACACTGTTTGGGATATACAGCCCTGCATGATTATCCCACATGCTGGGGGCCAGTGACCTAGATAGTCACGTTCTGGCCACAGCGCCTCGCGACCTCTTGGCCCATCCAGCGCCGCAAGAGCTCGCTATCCCGACAGGCACGCATGGGGCACAAGGGACAGAGAATCGAACAGACTCCTCCTCCGACTTCATCCTCGTCCCTCCCTCCCTCCTCCCTCCCTCCCTCTGCCGAACGACGCTGGCATTTGAGATCGTGCACGTTGTAAGTTCCATCCTTGTGCCTTCACGGGGGACCCCTCGCGGCGCAGATATGCTCATTGCGCCCGCTTTTTGCCTTCCCCTCCCTCTGCCTGCCCCTCCCCTCCCCCTCCCCTCCCCCTCCCTTCCTCTTGTCTTGCGCCCCCCCCCCTCCTGCCGAGGCCACTGGGGTCTGTGCTGCTTGCCGGCCTGGGGATGGGCCTGTCGCTGGCCGCCCCGGGGTGGCGGAGAGCAGGGCGAGGGGGATGAGGGCGAGGACGACAAGGACGGCGACGAGGAGGCGAGGAGTAGGTCGAGGAGGAGGAGGATCAGGATCAGGAGGATGAGGATCAGGAGGAGGAGGAGGGAGAGGAGGAGGAGGAGGTGGAGGACCAGTTAAACCCAAGAGGCATCACGATGTTGGAATCAACCCTCCCTCCAAGCTTCCCCTTCATAGGCCCCTACAACGGTTCATGTGTGTTGAGCGGCCCGAGGCAACGAGTGAAAATCAGTCTCACTAAAACAGCCCGAAAAAACTCCACCAAACAATTTTCAAAATCCGAGCAATTAAAAATGTTATTTTTTGATAAGCCCCCTTTATGGGGCCCGTACTTCATGCATGTAATCCGAGCGGGTCAGGGTTGAATATGGGGGAATATCAGGCGGGAGGCTCGTCTGTGGGTGAATTGCGAGGAAGTCTCAGGCGGGAGCCCTCTCCCTATTGGGCCCGAATTTGTATTCGAGCGGGTCATCCTTGAATTGGTAATAATTGTCGTCACTTTTGGGCAACAGGCTTTTTGTGGAGGTCGGAAAGGGGTGCAGTATAAAGGGGCGTGGTACCAATCGTGGAAACGGCGATGTGATCGACGATCGAGAACATCGCTAGGTTCAGCAGTGGCACCACACCCCTTTATACCACGCCCCTTCTTACCTCCAGATTTTCACCTTGGGTCGTTTTTGACGGTCCTGAGGTCTGACCAGGGCCCCCAGGGGCAGAACAAAGCAACAAAGAACGCCGGCTGCGTTTTTTTCACGACGCGAGGGGGTCTGGGAATGGAGGTTGGCCAATGTGCGCACGCGGCCGATTTTCCGGGCGCCCCGAGCCCTTCGCGAGACTTTCTTGTCTTGGCCTGGCTCGGACGACAGGGGTAGGCTGGCACGGCAGGTTCGCCCTCTCCCTATGGGGCCCGCGCGGGTCATCCTCGAACTTGTAATTGTCGTAACTTTTGGGCTCCTGAGGGTTGAATACTGGAGATGTATCAGGCAGGGAGGCTCGTCTGTGCGTGAATTGCGAGGAAGTCTCAGGCGGGAGCCCTCTCCCTATGGGGCCCGCATTTGATGTTTTTAATCCGAGCGGGTCGTCCTCGAACGTGTAACTTTCGACACTTTTGGGCTCCCGAGGCCTGAATATGGGGGTAGTATCAGCCGGAAGGCTCGTTTGTGAGTGAACTGTGAGGAAGGCTCAGGCGGGAGCTCCCTCCCTATGGGGCCCGCGCCTTTCGTGCTCCCTCCAGGTCGTACTCCGGCGCGCTTTTCCTTTGGGTCGTCCCCCGCCGCGTATCTTCCGGGACGCATGTCGTGCGCTTCCTTTGGGTCGTGTTCCGCACGAGGAGGAGGAGGAGGAAGGAGGAGGAAGGAGGATGCAGGACGAGAAAGAGAAGCAGGAGGAGGAGGGGGAGGAGGAGAAGGAGGAAGCAGAGGGCGAGAAGGACGAGGATGATACGAAGGAAGAGGAGTGCCCTAGGAGGCCCCAGGATGTCCCGGGAGGCCCAGAAGGCTCCAGGAGACCAAGAGGCCCCAAGAGTCTCCAGGAGGAGGCAGGAAGCCTAAGGAGGAGGCAGGAGGAGGCAGGAGGAGGGGGAGGCGGAGGAGGAGGGGGGGGAAAGTGGAGACGATGAAGAGGAGGAGGCGGAGGGGGGAGAGGGAGAAGAGGAAGATGGAGAGGGGAGGCGGAGGAGGAGGAGGAGGATCAGGAGGAAAAGGAGGAGGAGGAGGAGGAGGAGGAGGAGGAGGAGGAGGGGAAGGAGGGAGAGGGAAAGCAGCAGGAGGAGGAGGACGCAGGAGGCAGGAGAAGCAAGGGGAATGGGGGGAGGAGGCATAACGGGCATAACGAGGAGGAGGAGGAAAAGGAGGAGGAGGAGGAGGTGGTGGTGGTGGAGGAGGCAAGGGGAGGAGGCAGGGAGGAGGCAGGAGGAAAAGGAGGAGGCAGGAGTAGGTGGGAGAAGCGAGGGGGCAGGAGGAGATCCCCAGGCAAGCTAAACAGATTCTCATGTGGGGTCCACCCGTCGGAGTAATTTCCCTCTAAAGTACTATGCAGAGCTCCCTTTGCCTTCTAAAGTAATGTGCAAAGCTCCCGGCCGGTGCTGCGGGGACGACGTTAGGGAGAGGTGGGCCTTGGGCGCAGGGGGCCACTGGGCGAGCCAGCGGCAGCCTCCGTGCCGCATCTGCGCGGCGGCCAGCTGCCACACGCGCGCCGTCGCGCGCTTGGAGGGGGGGGGGGTCGAGCCGTGCTGACAGCTAGCTTTCAAGGCCGGGCGTGTCCCTCTACAGGAGGAATACTCAAAAATATTCAAAAATAGTATGAGTATTATTTTTCTTCTGTTTTTGACTATTTTGAATACTTGTTTGAATATGTTAGATTTGTCGTCCAAAACCCGACTCCAGTTGAGCGGAAGATCGGGACAAATCGGAACCAGAGATTATGGGAGAGTTCCAAAGACAAATAGAACGCCGAATTGTGGAGCGCAGCGCGCGCATTCGCAGAAGTTCCCCAAGGACATTTCGAGGGCTTGAGGAGCCCAAGTAACACATGGGCGCTCCATTAAATTGTTAAGGGCGGGCAGAAAAGCTGGTGTGCACGAGCCTTGGGAGCGGGTGCACGGCTTGCACGGGGGGCACAGTAGGTTTGCGTTTCAGGGACTTGGGCGCTGGCCGATGCGTTGATGGGGGGCCCGAGAGTGCGTCGCACATATTACGCCTGTGGCGCCATGGAGGCCGCATGTGCGGTTGCAGTGGGGCGGGCGCCCCGCCGCGCGCACCGTGGCGACAGCTCTCTCGGGCGCCCGCCCGCCGCCGTGGACGTAGTGGACCCAGATAGTCTCGCGGTCGGCGCGCGGCGGGTCGGCAGCCACGACGCTGGCGGCCTGAAAATGCTTCGAAAGTGTTTCTCCCCGAGCCCGGGGCTATTGTACGTTTTCGGTGGCACGCGCAGCTCGGAGAAGAATTGCCCTGTCCGTCGGCGGCCAGTTGGCTGTCGTCGCGCAGAAGTACCGGCGGATGGCGCGGTCCACGCTCAGCGCAGAGAGCGTGTCCATGAGCGTGGACTCGTCGAGGGGCAGGAGGAAGGACCTCGTGGTCGGGACCGGCCCGCGATGTCCATGGCCCCCACCCTGGGCGCGTGAGGGCCTGCTGGGCGCCGCCGCAGGCCGATTTCAGAGAATCTCGGGACCAGAAATCCGGGCGTGCCAAATTTCGCGGGCCGAAAAACTTTCAGAGAGTTTCGGCCAGCTCCGAGGTTTTGGGTTTATGGGAATGTTTCACGCGGGGTGGCTAGTTCAGAGATTTTCAGAGATTCTCAGAGAAGTTCGGACGCGAGAATTTGGCGCGCCCTGGTCTCTGGTTCTGTGAATATCTGAAAAGCGGTTCCTCAAGTTTTACCGGATCTCCAGGCGTCCTACTGTCAGCCAGAGACGAGCGACTGGCTGGCGCCGCGCCCGATGCTTCCGGAGTTGCGAACTCGGTCCTCGATTCCCTGGGGCCCGCGGGCCCCTGGGCCAATCGCGAGGTTGCCGAAGCCCCCGGGCGGTTGCGCGCGATTGTCTCCGAAACCGGAGTTGGGCATCCATGGTGGACGCCCGCGCGTACGCGCTAGGTGTCCGCGAGATTATTCGGTGGCGGATATTGCATGGTGCCTGGGGCCTTCCACAGACTTTCCGAGGTTTTCTCTACGGTTATTTCGGCGCGCTTCGGGAACCCTGGGGCGGCGCGGGGAAGTCGCCAAGCCGCGCGCGGGCCCTTTTTCCAATGCCTTTTTGGGCATTATCGCATTATCGCGGTGTTGCGTGGCCGAAGAGGTCACTGAGTACTGCGCTTTTTGACATTTACACGTGTTTTCCGTTGCGTTGGTTGCGTGATTGTTTTGGCGGTCCGCCTCTTGGGGCCCCCTTGGGGCCTCAAGTTTGTTTTGTTGACGTCGGGCCTCCTGGAGTGAAAGGCGCTTGGCGCTGAATTCCCTCGGGCGTGCGCGTGGCCGAATACGCGCCGTGGCCTCATCCGCGCCGGGGCGCATTTCCTCCCTCGCGAAGCCGATGGTGGCCAAGGCGTGGCAGGCCCGTTCGGCGGCGCCCCGGTGATTTGAAAAACCGAGCATGATTTTTATCCCGGTCAAACTTTGCCCGATCCTGGCTTCACTTTACGACTATAGGGGGACACGCCCGACGTAAAGGTAGCCTGCTCCTCCTCCTCCTCCTCCTCCTCCTCCTCCTCCTCCTCCTTCCTTCTCTTCCTCCTACTCCTCCTCCTCCTCCTCCTCCTCCTCCTCCTCCTCCTCCTCCTCCTCCTCCTCCGCCTCCTTCTCGTCCTCCTCCTCGTCCTCCTCGTCCGCCTCGTCCGCCTCGTCCTCCTTTTCCTCCTCGCCCTCCTCGCCCTCCCGGCAAGTCATGATGGCCTCGCACACGGTCGTATAATTATCCGTCTCTTGAGTGCACTGGCGTCGATGCGCGTACGGTCATCGACGAAACAGCGCAGGTTTAGCGGCGGTTCGCGTCGATGTGCGTCGATGTAGCGCCGAATAGCGTCGATTCGTGTCGATTCGCAGGAGCCAGCAAAATGGGATGGGCAGCCCCCATGACTTGCCACATAAGGCTGCCCGCGTCTCTTCCTTGATGTCACAGCCCGCCACGTTTTGCGTGCGATCGCGGCCGGTGCAGCAGTCACAGCGCGGCACGAGGGCAGGGTCAACCGGGCCGCCGCGGCGGACAGGCGGCAGTGGCACCTGGAAGGCCGCTGCCCGCGGCCTCTGCTGCGCGCGGCCCTTCCTAACAGGGGGGGCGGCACGGCCGGGTGGCGTTGCGCCACCTCTGCCGGCTCGCGCGGGACCGGGTGTAGACGGTCAGGAATGTTGGCTCGGCGCGGCGCGCCGCCCGGTCTGGCCCGCCACGCTTCGGTTGCGACACGCTAGCCGTTTCTCGGCCCCGCGTTGCCACAGGAGGTGTGGGGAAAGCCTGCTCCGCGGGGTGAGCAGGAGTCGGCGCGCGACGCGGGGCGTGGCGAATGGTGGTTTCAAATGGTCGGGACCGAGCTCGGGCCGAGCGGTGGTGGTGATGCTGCTGCTGATATGACGGTGGTGGTGATGAGGGCGCTGCTGGTGATGCCGTGGTGATGCTGGTGATGCTGTTGACGATGATGGTGTTGCGGCCGCGACGTCGACGGCGGCTCGCCCCCTCAGAGCAGGTCCTCGAGGTCGGCGGGGCGGTCCTGGAGGCCTCCCGCGCCGCGGCGCCGCCGCCGCGCGGCGGCGGCGACGACGCAGACCGAAGCGCACCAGCGGCCCGCGGCGGCGAAGCCTTCGCGGAGGCCTCCCTCGCCAGCGGCGGCAGCGGCGCGGCTGGCGGCGGCGGCGAGGGCGAGGCGCCGTCACCCCAGGCGCGCCTTCCTCCTCCTCCTCCTCCTCCTCCTCCTCCTCCTCCTCCTCCTCATTATCCTCCTCCTCCTCATTATCCTCCTCCTCCCCCCTCTCCCCTCATCCTCCCCGCTGCTTCCCCTCCCGCTCCTCCTCCTCCTCCTCCTCCTGCTCCTGCTCCTCCTCCTCCTCCTCTTCCTCGTCCCCCTCCTTGACAATTGGAGTCATGCGTGAAGGACAACGGTGACCGCATCATCGGCCTCCTCCCAGAGATCGCGCGCCTGTGGTCCATGTGCCGCGAAGATGCAGTTCGCTCCTGGAACCAGGAATTGCCATCATGGGAAATTCAGCCCTGAAGGAAGCCTACGACAGGGTCCTTCAGGAAGAGCTTACTGAGTACGTTCACGTGCCGCAAGGACATGGGCTCCTTGACACATCTCAGTTCTACGACAGCAGATCCTGGGTTGCCTTGGGTGAGCAGGCCCCAGACCTGGACTTCCCCACGGAGGTCCTTGGGCTGGAGCTTCTACAATGCATCGCACCACGGACCTCGAGGCAGAGCGGTAGTTACATCATACCGTTCCAGCCAACACGGTCCGTGGTACAGGGTCTTCGGTCAGGAACTCGTTTCGCCAAATTCATGACCTTCCGAGCGCTGCAGAGAATCACTCGAGTGCATCCCAGATTCCGCTACCGACTCTGGGTCGATGAATTATCCCAACGCATCCAGGAATCTCACACGGCTGTTCGTCAATGGCTCTTGCAGTGCCTCACGGACACCTGCGAGGCGCTCAAGGCGCACAGCCTCAGCATCGCCAAGAAGAGCATAGTACTGTGTTCCAGCATGGATGACGCTCGGTACGTGGTGCGCGGTGTTGCGCGACGCAGCTTCAAGGTGCAGGCCCGCACGCAGGCCAGCTACCTGGGAGCTGACCTTGGCGCAGGGGTACGGCACGCCAGGCACACCAACCAGATGCCAGCGCCTGACCCGCCACGGCCTCATGCATCACAAGATCATCCGACTGGCGCGGGCCACCAGGCGATACCGCCGTACTGGTAGGCAGGCCAAGCAGGGCGGGCAGGCTGCAGGAGGGTACGGTCACCAGATCCACGGCGTCTCTGGCACCCAGATGCAGCTGTTTCGACGCCGCCTTGGGGACGCGCTGGGACCGCGCATGCCAGGGCGCTGCCTCACCACCTTCCTGGATTCGAAAGCTGCAGGCCGATACCCAGCCAGGCGTTTCCCCAAGGAGGTCATCCACCAGTGGCTGACGACGTGGATCCAAGCAGGGCCCATGCAGAAGACGATTCAATTCACATGGCGTCAGGTTGTCCAATACGTCTGCCAACTCCCTGCTGGCCAGCGTGTCCGTCACGTGCGAGGACCACAGTCGGCCATCGTGCTGTATTTTCTGGAGAACGGGTGGAACCCACGGGAGCCCAATGCGTGGGATCTCCCCGCCCAGCCAGGTAGCGACGTACAGGACACCTGGGATTTCGACCTGACTGAGCTCACGGGCAACCCAGCCGTCGACATCCCGTCAGCCCTCTTGCAGGACCTCGACACCAGCATCCAGGCGCGATACTGGAAGCAGGCCAGCGAGCACTATGGCGGGTCAGGGATGGCGGAGGGGATCGACAACAGATCATCGATACCTACTGGGGCACCTCGAGAAGATGCCGAACGGGAAGCGGCTCGCGGCGCTGGTGCTGGCCTTCGCAGCCGGCGCAACTTGGCCGAAGGGCAGGGTCTAGGACTAGATTAGCACAGTTTTAGATGGGCTCTGCTCACGATGTGAGCAACAGAAGGAGACAGCATTCCACCGTGCCTGGGAATACCAGGAACGGAAGCCCAGCCCGATCCATGCCGCCAGCGGCACCATGATCGGAGAGGCCACCACGCAGCAGGACATGTACGAGTGCTTCTGGACTAGGGGCCTCATACCCCAGTCCTGTACGTGGGCGCCGCCGCCAGCAGCCAAGGAGGACTGGTCCACACACGGCGTCGAGGACGACCATTACCAGGACGGGTGCCTAAGTGTCGGCCTCCCAGGGCAACCGCTGTACATCTTCGGCGACGCCAGTGGCGGGGCCGACACGACCCACCCCGCCTTACGGCGCGTTGGGGTGGCCATCGTGAGCTTCTACGATCTCTGCCGCGATGGCATGGAGCTCCAGAGGGTGGCCCAGGGACCCCTACCTGGACACCGTCAGACGGTGGTCAGGGGCAAACTGTTGGCACTCCTCATGGCCCTTCGCTAATCAAGTGGCGAGATCATCTACATCACATTGCGAAGGAGCTTACTTCAACTATCACAACGGACATCCTCAGCACCCCGAGGGAGAGGACGCGGATGCATGGCACTCTGTGGGTCAACAACTCCGAGACAGATCCCCAAACGTTGCCGTGCTCCTGGTCAGATCGCATCAGACTGCCGAAAACATCGTCCAAGGACGTACCCTGGGGCCTCTCGTCTACGGCAAACGGGTAGTGGACGAGATTGCGGCAGTGGCCGCCAAGGAACATCGGATTCAGAAGACCGTCCGCCAGAAGCCAGTTGTCCCGCGAAGCCGGGCGACACGCCACCATCCTGCAGGGCGTAGCATGTCGCCGGGGCCGCCGCCGCGACCAGGCACAGGCACAACAAACAGTCCCTGACCGTGAGGCGCTGCTCTGCGGTGTCGCGCGGCGCGGCTTGCTTTCCTAGCCCGCTGCCTCGGATCGTTTCGTTTTTTTCGGCTCGATTCGAATCCGATTGCGATCTATTTCGATTCGATTCCGATGTCGATTTCGATTCGATTTCAATTCGATGTCGATCGAGTTCGATCGATCGAGTTCGATCGATTCCGATTCTAATTCGATTCGACTTCGGATTCCGCTCTGGACTTCGGCTTCTATGTCAACGATTCGGCTTCGGAATTTCCGACCTGGGCTTCAGTTTCTCAGTGGAGGCCCTTATGGCCTGCCGATTTTTCCGCCCCCTCTCGGCTTCTCCTGACTCGGCTGCCGATTTCCGCTGGTCTGATTCATCTCGAACACCGACCCGACAATTCCGACATGATCCTGGGCTCTCTTGGGACTGGGGAGGAAAATCCAAACCTAATCAAAGCAAAATCATATGGGGACGATTGTCTAGTATTGTTTCAACATGTTTGTCCATATCCAAAGGATGGCGTGATTGTTATTACTGTGACCGCGCGGACCTCCCTCGCACACACCCTCCTCCCTTCTTCTCCTCCCCCTGTTGACGCTCTCCCTCAGTATGATGACGACGCTGCTGATGCAGATGATGAGTGGTGGCAATGAGAAAGGATGATGCAGAACATGATGAATGATGATATTGATGAAGAACATGATGATGATGCCGAACATGATGATTATGATGTTGATGATGAGGGTGATCAAAGTTGATATGGCGCCGCTGATGATGGAGCTGATGTTGCTGGTGATGGTAATGATAATGCTGATAATGTTGATTATGATGATGCTGATGCTGATGATGATGCTGATGCTGATGCTGATGATGATGCTACTGCTGCTGCTGCTGCTGATGATGATGTTGTTGATGATGATGATGATGATGATGATGATGATGATGATGATGATGATGATGATGATAATGATGATGATGGTGATGTGATGGTGATGACGGTGCTGATGACCAGGGGTGGCCAGATTGCAAGGACGTCTCGAGCGGTTTGAACAGATCCTGAGGATGTCTCAAGCGGCTTGCTGTTTTTCGCACTCCTAGGGGGGGGGGCGTTATGGGTATTGCACGGCCTCCGTTCGCGCTCAGATTGCGGGGATGTCTCAGGTGGTTTGCCTGTTTCGGTGCCCCACCATCCTTCGCCCTCGGAGCAGATTCTGAAGATGTCTCGAGCGGCTTGCTGCTTTTCGCACTCCTAAGGGGGCCGCCAGGAGTATTGCACGGCCCCCGTTCGCGCCCAGATTGCAGGGGTGTCTCAGGCTGTTTGCCTGCTTCGGTGCCCCAGCATCCTTCGTTTTCGGAGCAGATTTGGAGGATGTCTCGAGCGAGGCCCTCATTTTCGCCCTCAAGGGGGGGGGGGGGGGCAGATTTTGAGGATGTCTCGAGCGGTTTGCTTATTTAGCTGGCCAGACTCGTGTGCACGGATCTTCTTCAGGATGCCACAGGAGGCTCCAGCAGTCTCCAGGAGGCTACAGGAGGCCACAGGAAGTACAAGGAGGTATCATAATGCCACAAGAGGCCCCAGGAGGCTCCAGGAGGCCCCCGGAGGCTCCAAGAGGGCCCAGGAGGCCCCAGGAAGCACCATTATGATGGATATGAACACGATAATGACGACGATGACGACGACGATGATGCTGCTGATGATGATGATAATGATGATGGTGATGATGATGATGATGATGATGATGATGCTGATGATGATGATGATGATGATGATGATGATGATGATGATGATGATGATGATGATGATGATGATGATGATCGTGATGATGATGGTGATTCCCCAATCAGAGCTTGCCTCTGTAGGGGTCCTAGCGGATCAAAGGTTTAGGTGAAGTGGATCGCCGATTTCGGTGGCCGGGACCGGGTGCCCTGGTGCCCGGGTGCCCGGCGGTGCCCGGGTGCCCAGGTGGGCCGATTTCGGTGGCCGGGCCCGGGTGCCCGGGTGCCTGGGGTGCCCAATAGCCCAATAGCATATAGCCCAATAGCCCTATAGCCCTATAGCCCTATAGTTTTATAGCCCCATAGCCCTATAGCCTTCTAGCCCTATAGCCCAATAGCCCTATAGCCCAATAGCCCTATAGCCCCGTAGCCTTATAGCCCTATAGCCCAATAGCTCTACAGCCTTGTAGCTCTATAGCCTTATAGCCCAATAGCCCAATAGCCCTATAGCCCTATAGCCTCATAACCTTATAGCTTTATAGCCCTACAGCCCCTTAGCCCCAACAAAAATCTGATTGGGTTTTTTCTCCGGTGTCATAGTGATGGTGATGATGATGATGATGATGATGATGATGATGATGATGATGATGATGATGGTGGCGATGATGATGACGATGATGGGGGAGGGGGAGGTGGAAGATGAGGAGGAGGAAGAGGACACTCACACTCAGACTCACGCCCACTCATGATGGATATGACGACGATATCGACGACGATGGCGACGGTGATGATGATGATGATGCTGATGATGATGATGATGATGATGATGATGATGATGATGATGATGATGATCGTGATGGTGATGGGGGGAAGGGGGAGGAGGAGGAGGAAGAGGACACTCACACTCAGATTTACGCACACTCAGACTCACCTACACTTAGACCCACCCACCCTCAGACCCACTCGTACTCAGACTCTCTCATACCTCGACTAATTGGCACTCGCACTCAACCATGTGTACGAAACCCCGTTTATACTTCAAGCCGGCTTATGTCCGAATAATCTTGCGCCTATGCACCCACGGTGGACGCGTCCATGCAAATAGATGCACATACGTATGGGATCTCCACGCAGTTTTTATTTATTGTTTTGCTACTTGTCGATTATATTTTAGCCTTCTTCCTAAATCCGCCTGTAACAGGACATGCCCGACCTAAACCAAGTCTGCTGTTTGCTGCTGGCCTCGACCCCGCCGCTCGAAGCCTTCCCCGACTCAACGGGCGCGTGCTGGCGCCTCGTTGGGCGCTGGGCAGGTCAGCTGCGTGAGCTGATTCGCCCAATCCCCTCCTTTTCCAGATCCCCCCGAGTCCTGAAAAAATCACGACGGGAGGTTTCCCAGCATTTTCAGCCTCTGGGGGCCCTTACCGGGCCTCGGGGCCGTCAAAAGACAGCTCGGGATGAGAAGACGGTCCTAGGGAATGGGTCGAGATCTCTGGGCGTCGATGTTGAACAAAATCAAGTCTGGGATCTGGGTTACTCGAGCGGGGCTAGGACGAGGATGAATCCGTTCCAGAGCGTTCCGGAACGCTCTTAGAGCGTTCCAGGACGCTCTGAGATTGTCGCGGCGCCCGCTGCATCCTCCACAGCCGCTGGATCTCGGATAATCTCAACGTATCCTCACACGATGTTATCCTCGTCTGGGCTTCGTCTTAAAACCCTTTCCTTTACTGGGCGAAGAAAACTGTGCGCATGCACCGATCTTGGCCAGGTTCATCCTGGGCCCAGGATCGGTGCATGTGCCGTCCTGGCGAAGGCAGGAGGGCGTGTGCACCGATCCTGGGCTCGGGGCGGGCTTGGCCAGAATTGGTGTGCGTGTGTGGATGTGTAGGGAAGGTACCCTACTGTTTTTCGTGCTTGTTGGATGTTCTTCTGCACCCTCGGGAGGGTACCCTTGGATGTTATGTTTGTTTTGGCCAGCGGAGGGTCCCATGTTCTTGAGGGATGTTCTTCTGGCCTAGATCTGACTTTAAGGAACCTCCTTCCGGAAAGTTGGGCCAGCGTTTGTTGACCTTCTTACCGAAAGTTGGCACAGTTTTTTGAGCACGTTCGCCCCGCCATCGTTCACACGAACACGTGGCCCAGGTGTGTCTTCAGACACTTCTGGAAAGCTGTTCCAGATTTCTTGAACGATTGTTGTCTTGATCTCTACTTCGGTTGTAGCTCTCGTCCCTCTGCCTGGACTACTCGCCCTCCCCCCCCGTCCGACCCGAGCGTCCCGCCCCAGGCCGCCTCCGCGGCGGCGCGCTCCGCGAGCCTGCCGGCGAGCCAGCAGCTGTCCAGCTCCCCGGGAGCCGGGCGGATCGGCATGCCTCGGCGGACGAAGATCGGAGGCATGCTCGCCACGGCGCGGGCCCAGATCTCCGTCGATCTGAGGTTGTGCTTCTTTGTTCAACCCCAGCGGTTTTCTCGATTTCGGCCCCTCTGGGGCCCGTCATCGGGCCCCAGGGCCATCACAAACAGGCCCATGGGCGAGAAGCTGCTCCCCGGGGAAGCGCTGGGACCTCTGGGAGAAAGGTTGGCCCGCGAGAAGCCGAGCTGATCGCCGTCCAGCAGACGACGAAGAACGGGATCATCAGATAGTTGTTTGGGGGACCTTCCGGGGGCCAACCTAGCGAATCTGTTTGATTATGGTTTAACTCTAGTCCGGCTCAAGTCTGGCTAGGTCGGCTCAAGTTGACGGACGCTCGATGCAACATCAACGCACGAGTGAAGAGAGTGGTAGTAGAAAGGTCCGCAGAAAGAGCAGCTAAAAATCACATTCGCCATGACGCAGACGGGTCCTGAGGGAGAAGGGTCTTGATTTGCTAGGCAGATTGAGGCTCTCGGGCACCCCCCTGGGACCCCAGCCCATCACGCAACGAGATTCGAGGTGTAGACGTGGCTCTTGGGGGAGGGCCCTGGGGTCCAGGGCAAGTTTCCGTGCGATTCTTTCCTGCTAAGGCATAGCGTACTTTCCGCCACCGGGGACGCCTGTCCCAGGGCGGCTGGAAAGCTTCTGCCGCGACGTGCCACCTAGGGCCATCATCTTGCAAGCCGCCCTGTGACAGGCGTCATCGGTGGCGGAAACGTCTGAATTCCAATGCCGTGTCTCGCCCGCTAGGTGAGGGACCGGGGGGGGGGCCGAGCGCGAGGTTCCATGGTCTCTTAGGTTGCGCTTGGTCTTTTTGGGTGACTTCGTCCCTCCGCCCTGGAGGTCCCTGCAAATGTTCTCTTGGCGGGCGCCCTCAGAGCTCGTCCTTGAGGCCTCCGCTTCCTCTGTGTCCTCGTCTTCCGGCTCCTCCTCCTCCTCCTCCTCCTCCTCCTCCTCCTCCTCCTCCTCCTCCTCCTCCTCCTCCTCCTCCCTAGTATTGGGGAAGCGGGCCCTGAGGGAAACAGCTCCTGGACCCTGGGGCCTTCCCCCAGGACGAATCTTTTATCCTGAGCCGTCTTCTGACAGTCCCGGGGCCCGTGGAGGGCCCCGAGAGCCCGAAACCGCGAACAAAAACTCAGGAGCCGTTTCCCTCAGGACCCGCTTCCCCCATGGCGACCCTCCTCCTCCTCCAGCGCTGCCTCCCCTCCTCTTCCTCCTCCTCCTCTTCTTGAGTATCTTCTCCTGGCCTCGCCAGGGCGTTCTCCGGCAGACCTTCTTGTCGCTTCTCCCCAGCGCCCCTGCCGCCCTGGAGGCTCTCTCGAGTAAGACGTCCTCCCCTGGCCCTGGTGGTCTTCCAGAGGGCCCCGGAGGCCCAGAGGGGGGGGCGGACGCTTAACGACCGCCCTCCCCGAACAGCCCCTGCCCTCCTCTCCCGGTTCCTTTTCGATCCCCCTCGTTCCTCCTCTACCAGTTTCCCCCAGAGGCTGGGATGAGAGAGTCAAGAAGAGGAGGAGGAAGAGGAGGAGGAGGTGGAGGAGGTGGAGGAGGAGGAGGAGGAGGCAGCGCTGGGGGAGGAGGAGGGTTGCCATGGGGGAAACGGGTCCTGAGGGAACCGGGTCCTGAGGTTTTTGCAGTTTTCGGGCTCTCGGGGGCCTCCACGGGCCCCGGGGCTGCCAGAAGACGGCTCAGGATGAAAGACTCGTCCTGGGGGAAGGCTCCATGGTCCAGGACCCGCTTCCCTCAGAACCCGCTGTCACCATGCTAGGGAGGAGGAGGAGGAACAGGAGGAGGAACAGGAGGAGGAGGAGGAGGAGGAGGAGATTTTACAGTGCACCGCTGACGACCAGTCTCCAAGGTCTATCGAGTAACCAGGGACTGAAGGCCAGGGCAGGAGGAGGAGGAGGATGGAGGAGGAGGACATCGGCTTCGAGCGAGGGGGGGAAGTGAGAGGGGGCGGGCCTTCTCAGAAGGCTCGGAAGTCCCCCAGACTTCTCAGAAGTTTTCTGAGCCTTCGTCGACGCAGAAAACTTCTCAGAAGGCCTGAGGCCTCCAGAGAAGCCCCGCCGCCTTCTGAGAACGCCTTCTCCTGCTCACTTACCCTGGTTCGCCGCCGAGAACAGGGGCATACGGACGAGCCGGAACCCCCGTTTAGCTATGCCCCCGCTTAGGGCGCTCTGACGCGCACGCACCTGATTTGCCACCCCCCCTTTTGCGGTCTGTTTGCGTCGCGTCGTGCCGACCCGCGGCGACCCCACCGCCGGCGTTTACTTCTGGAATGCCGCCGGCGACTCAGAATCGGTCGATGCTGAAGGACTCAGGCGGGCCCAGGACGAGGATGAATCCGTTCTGGAGCGTTCCGGAACGCTCTCAGTGCAGTCCGGAAGGACGCTCTGAGAAGGGCGCAGCGCACGAGACATCTTCCAGAGCTGCCACATCTCAAAGATTCTCGATTTATCCTTAAGTCGGGTACGTCCCCGTACAGGAGGAATATTCAAAAATAATATAGAGAATCAGACGGGGACCATTTTTTTTGCTACTTTCGACTACCTTTGAATATGTTTTGTTTTTTTTTCCGTTCAAAATCGGCCTGTGGAAGGACATGCCCGATCTAGATTCATCCCCTCGCGGCAGGAGGGACGCCTCGCGCGGCGAGGGGGGCTCGTCACGGGAGGGGTCTGTGAGCCCTGAGATCCGACGTCACCCCGCTTAGGGTTTAGGGTTTAAGGTTCAGGGTTTCGGTTGAGATCGGCCTTGTGATTATTCTTCAGGCACTGTGTATGGCTTGGGGTATTTTGCGGAGCATGTTGTTTAGGATATCTGGCATGGGCAGGTTGTTGAGGATGTATGGTTTCGGATACAGTTGTTGAGATGTTGTGTAGGATAGGTTGTTTAGGATGCTGCTAAGGGTCTATTGTTTGGGATCTTGGTGACAGTATTGCTTCTAGGATATTGATTAGGGCATATGGTTTAGCTATTGTTTTGGATATGCTGTTTCGGACATACGGTGTGTTCTCCAGGAGAAGTTTAGGATGTTGGTTCGAGTATTGTTTGTGAACAGTTATATAGGAGGTATGGTTTACGTAGCACCCCGCAGTTGCGGATAAGAGTGAGGGGGGCGGCGGGGACGTCGGCAGTCTGCGAGGCTCTGAAGCGCACAATTTTTCAAGCTATACAAAGCCCGCCGCAGGCACCGAATTTTGTGTTAAAACAATGTAGGTGGGTCGCGGGTTGGGTCGCACGTGGGTCGCGGCTGGATAGACGGTGGGTCGCAAGTGGGTCGCGGGCCGGGTCGCGGGTGGGTCGCAGATGGGTCGCGGGTGGGTCGCGGGTGGGTCGCGAGCGGGTCGCGGGGTAGGTCGCGGGTGGGTCGCGGTTGGGTCGCGGGGTGGGTCGCCGGTGGGTCGCGGGGTGGGTCGCGGGCCGGGTCGCGGGCCGGGTCGCAGGGGGGACGACGACAACAACAAACAACAACAACAACAACAACAACAACAACAACAACAACACAACAACAACAACAACAGCAACAACGACAGCAACAACGCAACGAGCATAATCTTCACCACAGATCCGCACTTAAGCAACGCACCCAGGGACAATGAATGCCCGTTCGCCCCCCTCACTCTGACGATATATTGTGTACTTAGGAAGGTGTTTCGGATATTGTTAAGGGTGCTGTTTAGGATATGTTGTTTGGGATCTAGATTGGGATATGTTGACGATGCTATGTTGGAGAAGTGGTTTGAATGTTTTGCTTGATACGGTTGTATTGCATCGGATATACTGCTCGGGCTATTGCTTAGGATCGTGTGCATGTGTTCAGGATACGATTTAGGACATATGGTTTAGAATATTGTTGTGGCTGCAGTTTAGGACGCTGAGGTTGATATGTCGTTTAGGCTCTTGCTTAGCCGCGGTTTCGTAGGTTTGACTACGTAGGTCGAACGAAGCGTTTCGAATATGTTTCTGAACATGGTTTATGCTATTGCTTAGGGTATCGTGTTTAGGATCTTGTTCAGAATGTCGTGTTTAGGGTATTGCTTAGAATTCTGATTTGGATATAGTTCAGGATGTAGTGGTTCGGGCATGGTATCGGATATATTGTTTAGGATACATTGTTCCGGGTATGATGGTCAGGGTACAGTGTACAGGATGCCGTGGAGGATGTTGGTGAAGATATGTTGCTAACGATATTGTAGGATACGGTTGAGGATGTATTGTTTCGGATCGGTGTGAGGACATGTTGTTTATACTACGTTGATAAGTATTCATTGTGTAGGAAATCTGGTGTAGGTTGTAGTGATGGTGATACGGTGTTGAGGTATAGTGTTTAGGAGGTTGGTTATAATATACTGTTCGAGATATGCGTTAGGATATTGTTTTTTTTTGGGGGGGGGGGGGGTATGGTGTGTGATACCTTGTTGAGAATACAACGTCCAGGGGAGCATTTAACATATAGTGTTTGTGTTGTTGACAGGGATGCGGTTTATGAAAGGATGTTTAGTATTGATGTTGTTGCAGGATCTCGTCTATGGTGTTGTTTGGGATAACGTGCTCATTATATTTTGTCCAGGATCGTTTCAATATTGTTAGTCGGATACTGTTTAGGATAATGCGTTGGGCGCTGCTCAGGATTTAGTCTTGTTGATTTAAAGTGTAAGATGGTATTAGTAGGACATCGCTCACGAATGTGTCTGGAATATTTCCCAAACATCATGTGTTGTTGGGCCCCTGCTTTGAAGAGACAGCGCCCCGCACCACTCCTTCCGTGTTTCCTCCTCCCCCCTCCTCCCTCCTCCCGCCTCCCCCTCCTTGCCTCTGCCCTCATCAGTACGCGATTCTCCCACACAGTACAACGTTTCGTGGCTCCCTATGGAGCTCCCCTGAAGGCTTCAGTGGCACCGCCCGCATGCGTCACCCCCACCCAGCACAGCGTTTCGT